AATGAAATGTTTGCTTATTTATACCTTGATGTAAGTTCAAGGCTGTCTGTACTAGTCATAATAGATTAGAACTTGACAGTTAAATAGTCCAGAACCTTAGATCCAAATATTTGACCTGAAAATAACAATTGCTTATTGTAAGTCATTTCAATATGAAAGAAAATTAATCACTAGAAAAACAAGGTTAGACTAATTTCCTTCTCTATACAACAGGAGTAAAAAATTAAAACATAAAAATAAGATAAAATTGACTCCTTCCCTGAAAATCTAACTTTTTACTCCACAGCAGAAAGGAAGAGTTCTCCTACCTAAAATTCAAAAAGCTTCTTCTGCCTGTCTGTTTAGATTTTTACCCACCAATAGAGATGTGATTTCATACTGGTTCTGAGCTTCAAACACTAGGATCTTCCAAAAAGAAGGAGTTTAGTTGATAGGTAAATTTTTCTAGACATTTTTTGCTGGAAGGCAGAATTACCAATGTGAATAGGGCCAAGGATAAGCTAAGGAGAACAAAAAGATTTCCTGCATGTAAATAGAAGACTGAAGAGGATTTAGACGTAGGGAAGACATTCATAGCAGGGCAGAGCAGCACTTCCTTCTCCATTTGCCACAAAAAACAATTGAAAAATATAGATTGCTCCTCTCTGTACTGGTGTTTGCTCACAGTGCTAAATCAAATTGAGATACTCCGCTTTAATCACTCAGATGTGAACTGCGTGAGATCAGACTAACTCGTAAAGATGCCCCATTCCATTATACACAAGCTAGGATTTGGGAGATTAAATGTGTTGAAGACAGAAGCATGCTGTAAACCAAGACCCTCAGCCACACCATGGAAGCACTAACTTTCCTTGCAGGCTTTTCTCTGAGGAGGGGGCAGAAGTTCATTCACAGCTTGAAAGAATGGGGAAGGAGGATGAAGAGAAATAGTAAATGCTGTACTGCAGTGAGGATAGGGGGCTGTAGGAGATGGGTTGAAAAACGATAATAAGGCTGAGCAGAGCAGAGTCAGAATGGAATAATCACAGAATGGCTTAGGTTGAAGGGAATCTTAAAGTCCAGTTCCACCCTCCTGCCATTAACAGGGTTGCCAACCACAACATCAGGCTGCCCAGGATCCCATCCAACCTGGCCTTGAATGCCGCTGGGAATATAGGTTTTACACTCCACACATCTCCTATGAACAACCTTAACATTTATACTCTTATTTTGCTGTCACATTCAGGAATTCCAAGCATAGAGAACAGTCTCTATTCGCAAGATACTGTACAAACAACATTTTTTACCACAAAATAATTTACTTTCAGAGCCACAAGCCCAAACAGGTAATCAGTTAGTTGAACCCAGAAGAACAGCTACCAGTTCTCCGTATCTAAGTAAAAAATGTTTCAAATAAAAAGTTTCCACATGGAAAACTGAGCAGTAGGCTGATATTTTGAATTTCAACCTGAGGAAACTTTGATAGTTTAAAATATATATATATATATATATATATATATGAATCATCACAATTTTTTTCTTATTTCTTTCTCCACCTTTTTTTCCCCTTGCAGTTTAAAGAAAGAAAATCTTGCCATTGGTGGTATGTTAACTTCCTTTTATAAAACAAATATGTTTTAATAACGTTACTTTGTGCAGCCCTGACAACATTTCAGCATCTTCCCAGTTAAGTATCTTCACAATGAGAAACGATATTGCAAGCCATCAGGCATTGCATGACACTGCAGCTCATAATTCTGTGGTATATATTACTCTGCAGTCAGGCTGAGATTTTAAGTTTATTTTATTTCAATTAATCTCCCAGCAGAAGAAATAGAAAGCTCATGAGCAGCTGTGATGTGGAAAGCCTTTATCCGGACTCATAAAAGTGGCAGATAAACTAAAGAAAAACTATTCCAAAGGCACAGAACAGCAGTCAGTTCGTTTCACTACTGCTCCACGCTAAAGGTAACAGATGCCTTTCTTTGAAACTAGTATGTTAGAATTTCACAGGGAGGAAAAAAAAGTGAAATAAAAAACAAAACAAAACAAAACCAGCTGTCAGGCTCACATAGCCCTGAAGTGGAGCTGAAAGCAAAGGAGAGAGAGAAACATGCTGTAAATGAAGAACCGAGTGTACTGTTTCACTATACAATGATAAAAGTGATTTGCAAAAGTGCTGTTTACCCAAGAGCCGCCTGGTTCAACAGCGCAGCACCTTCGTCCCTCCATGGCTTTGATATAGTCTACCGAAAATATGTCTTTCAAAAATAGGTTGCTCACCTGTCTTGCATGTTTACTCAGGGTAACTTTTCAGGCAAATCATGTTACCAAACCTCACACAAGAATGGGCTAGGATTCAGAGAATCTGGCAGTTTCATGCAGCTCTCCCTTCCAGTATGTGCAAAAAAAAAGAATGCAGAGTTTCATTGAGTCATAGTGGGCAACACCAGACATCCACTACGGCAAAACTTGGCAAACATAAGTCCTGCTTTCCACCTGAAGGAATGATATTAACTGCAATGAACTATCTATTAAAAACACTACATTCTTACAGGAATAACAGCCTGTCATGTTTAGCTCTTACTTCTGTTTCATTAAAATGGAACTAGCAAGTATTCATCTCCTATGCAGCTTGGATAAAATGGCAGAGCACTGATACAATTCCAGGCAAAATGAGTGCTTAATGTAGAGCTTCTGCAGAAATGGTCCTCTTTGATAAAGAAGTTATGCATGTTTAAAAGCTTTTGCTCTTGCAGAACATAACAGGTTTTCAGTCAATATGGAAAATGCTGAATAAACCATCTCCAAGCCAGCCACACAAAGAAGAATACTGTATGTGGGGTAAGGAGGAATCGCACAGAAAGCTCTGATCTGGCATGCTAAAGATCTACTGGCATGCTAAAGATCAAGCTTGATGGCTGTAGCTGACTTAAGTTCCAGTTTCAAAAGACCCTAGGAAACTAAGGACCTCATTTCTTTGAATGTGAACAGGCTCTCCATTTTACACAATTTTCATCCTGGAGATCAGGACTATGCCAGGTATACAAAAGCAGGGTTCAGCATGCTCAAACAGCAGCAGTCAAATAGGATATTAATACACAATTCTGGCAGCACTGGAGAAGCGTTCACTTCCTGCACATTCATTTCCACATTCACTTCCCTTTCTTGTGTCAGACCAATAGCACTTACTCAAACCACAGACAGCAGCTACTGCCTAGCACCTCACCTGTGAGCCTTTGCAAACAGCCTTTCCCCATGTGGGCCTCAGCAGCTGCTTTCCTCTTCTTTCTCTCTACTCTTTTTAAAAACCCCTCTCTGATCTTCCTTCATTGATGTCCCCTTTCTCAAAATTCCCTTTTTCAGTTCAAACTTTCTTTTGACATTTTTATGCCCCCATCTGTCTGTCTCTTCATGGGGATGTCAGTGTCTACCTGACATACAGTTGCAAAAGTTTACTCAACTATCTGAAACTGTGTAACATTTGATAATTTGTAAAAGTCAAAATGATAATAACTACATGAATTACAGAACATAGAAGTAAGTGAAAACATTGAAGAATACTAAAAAAAAGTTATTTAGGTAATATATATATTTTAAAAGTCTACTTTATTTTTTCAAATTCTCAAGCGTTTATTTTGTTTCAACAAATTACTGGGGAAAAAAAAATAATCACCTTATCTTTTCCTGGACTAGCTCTTCCATTTTTTTGCCAAAATTAATTTCACCCTTGCAATTTTGCCTGTCCCTGTATCTGTCAACAACTCTGACTTTTCATACAGTAGGCAAGCTTGTTTTTCCTCTTCTTTCCCAAATACTTTCAAAAAAAACAAGAAAAAGGCGTAACACAATAGTTAGTTGAGTACCTTGTCTCGGCATTAGCAGAACAAGTTCATACAGCCCTTTGTTTGATCTGCTTGTCAATTTCCCCATGAGTGAATAAACAAAGAAAGAGTCAGACTCCCCAGGTGTCTGATGGATTTATTTGTGCAACAGAGAAGCGTGCAAAGCATGAATGTTGCCACTTCCAGACTCTACCAAAGCACAATGCACAGTAAAGATTTACCATGGAAGACTACACAGCTTTAATATTAATCCTCCTACAATCTTTGTAGTGCACCAGCCTGGACTTATCAAATATCTAGCAGCCCAGTATATAGTAGGAATGTTTGAAATCTAGGACAAACCTGCATGTGCCAAGATCACATGTGATGCACAGTGAAATTCAACATGTAGAACCACAGAATAACAGAATGGCTTAGGATGGAAGGGACCTTAAAACCCACCCAGCCCCAACTTACTGCCACAAACTCAGGCTGCCCAGGGACACATCCAACCTGGCCTCAAGCTCCTCCAGGAATGGGGCATCCACAGCCTCTCTCGGTAACCTATGCCAGTGCCTCACCACACTCTGAGTAATGACTTTCCTCTTAACATCTAACATAAATCTTTCCTCTTTTAGTTTAAAGTCATTCCCTCTTGTCCCAGCACTACATTCCCTCACAAGAGTCTCTTCTCCAGAAGAGAAAAATTAGAATTCTCTAATTCCAGCTTGTTAAAACTTTCTTCATGGAGAGGTGCTCCAGCCCTCTGATAAATGAAGAGGAAGAAATCCTAACAGTGTAACTCTCCCTTAATCTCTGCCAGATCAGGGCTGCAACTACCTCATGGTCTAAAGCACCAGCAATACTGTGAGTAGAAAGGAGACATGTATGAAGTAATGAGATGACAGAATGTATAGGTGCAAGTCCTCCACACTGTTAAGACAGTACCATAAGTTACTCTGGCAATAACTCTAAAAAGTTCTGTGGTGAACAGCAGTTTCCAATTTCAATATGAAAAGCAAAAGGAAAATGGTGGATTTTTTTCCTTCTTTTGATCCAGAGCTCATCAGCTGTCATGAGTCCAGCAGAGACAGAAAAAGAGTTTTTCCTCATTGTTTCTTGGCTGTTCCTCACAGCCACGTACCTTCTGTGAGAAATCTGAAAAAACATCTGCAGAGATATTTCAGCTGTACTTACCGATGGTGTTGAAACACTTCGAATCCCTGGCCATGGACAGAGTATCTAGCGAATACGAGTTTGACTTGCCGAGCCAAGAATTTCTGTTTATCTGAAATTGGAAGACAGATCACAAAAGTTTTTAAGCATCAATTTTCGGATGAGAATTGATTTAATTTAATCCACTGTCTGGATTTTGTAATATATTGATTCCTTCACTAGGCAAAGATTGACAGAGAGCTGAAAAAGTATTTTAGAAATCACAAATAAACTCTTCTGACATTCCTTATTAGAACAAAGTGAATAGAATTGTCTTTGTGAAGTTCTAAAACTTCTAAACTGAACTACATTGGCCCTTAAGAAGTCTGCAGAGTAAGCTGAGGTAGGTTTAAGATTTGTCTTACACTGGGATTTTCTGTTTTTCTTTTTTTGCTCTGTTGAACCCTGCCCAGTGCTCCCCCACAGAAAGCAAGAGCTCTGCGGAGTGCACTGCACTTTCTTTACAGTCAGGTCATCAAGCAAAGACCATTTGCTTTTCATAAGCTTTTGAAGGTTTTTCCACTCAAAATCAAGCTAGTTCGTGGTAGGAAAGAAAGACAGGAGTAGCAGGGCTGGAATAAACACTGCAATACAAGTGACAAGGCAGATTTCAAGTTTTACTTTCTGTGCATAACTTCTCACTAAGCTGCAAAGGTGACATTATCTGTTTAGCTTTTCAAAGCCATTCAATAAAGTAAACAGAATTAAATTGCATCCAGAACAGGGCTGCAGAGGAGTGGTACAAGAAATAAGAAATATGAAAGGGCACCAGGGAGTTGGCAACGGATCTTTCATCTCTCTACTGCTGAGCCCACCATTATGGATTTCTGTGCTCAGAAAAGCTTGTGCCGCCTAGGGATATGTGCATCGGCTTTCTTCATTAAATGGATTATGTTTTCCTTGCTGTGTGACTCACTTCTCTCTGAGGGAAGAAACAAGTAACCAGTAACATTAATGGACAAATTGTCTCCCTGTTGCATTTCCTGTAGGCTGTCACAGTAATATTTCAATGGATATGTTGTCATTATCTTTCATGCATGCTGTCATTCACTTGTGCTATACCGGTATGGCAAGGAATGCTGCCTATAGCACACGTTTTTGCTACATTGGAAAGGGCAAGAAAACCTGACCCTTGCAGGCCAGAGAACCATTTTTCCTACCAAAATGTACTTGTTTCTGATGCCAGGTACGACAACCCTCCTCTGCTCCTTTTGTAAACACACTCTTCTCATGTGTCTTACTGAACTCTCTCCAGGGTTTACGTACTCTGTGTCCTGATCCTCCTAGATAGTGGATGTTGTGTTGTCTTTGCATTGCATTCAGGCTAGGAGAACTCATGTTTTCAATAATTATGTCAGGAGGGGACCTAAGTTGCGTTAGATCCTACAGTGCTAATGTAGCTCATCATACAACTTTCCCCAGGGGCTGGGCAGTAGAAATATCCCATGTGAAAGCAGTAGGGAAAGAACTGTTGCCTCAAAAACACTTTTTATGTAGCCACAGAGAAAATAACGACCATTAAATAGGAAAGTCTTAAATAGAAAGTCTTGTTTCCCCAAAATAATGTTTAAAGCCATAACGCATATATTTGCTGACATAAGTTTTACAGTCAGACCATTAAAAGGTTCCTGATAAACACAGGAACCAAAGATTGCTGAAGTACCATAACAACTTTGTAAGCAGCTTCATACAGAAGCTTATTCTTAATAGGCTAGGCTGATGATTAATTCATTCTGTGATAAAAAAACCGGTTGAGATTTCATAACTACAGGACAGCTTGTTTTCCTCTCTAATTTTAGAATAAGCACAGTATTTGAGAGGATGAGATCTCTTAATCCCTTGATCTTGAACACCACAGTCATCAGAAAAAAAAATCATTTAACTAACTCCAGAAATATCCCAGTGGTCAGAGCATGAATTATGTTAAAACTGAAATTCACATGAAAAAATAATCACAGAGTAGGTAAGAAACACAACCTTTTGCCACTTCTGAACACAAAGTTTAAAAGCAAAAGTTTGAATGTGTAGAGCAACGTGTCTCATAATGACTCAAATAAGTCTGAACTAGAGTAGCTGTCCCTGCTACCAAAAAGCATCTCATTCCATCACTGAGGATGGAAATGAGTGCCTGGATGGAAATAAGAAGCTCTCCTCAGACAGCAACTTGTTCTAGAGCCCATTAAGACATTACAGCATCTGGCTCACTGATCCATGAGTTCTAACACATCTTCACAACAAATGCTTTTTCACTACTAAATACTCCAAACTTCATTAAATGGCTAAAGTCTATTCCTTAAAATAGTCCAATCAGCATCTCCTCACCCTGATCACTGGCACCAACACAAGGCCCTCCACTCATTTCAAGCGGTTTTTGGGTATATTTCATTATAGAAAAGTCTTCTGGTATTGTACATCTGAAGAAACCAAAGCATCTGATATCAACAGAATATGAGAAAAGTACAGGAATTTTGACTGATACAAACTGAACTTAGACATCTTCTCTAGCCACACGAGTTAATCCTATTTTCCGTCTTTTGTGACAGCTTGCATGGAGGGAGGGAGGGAAGACACTCAGCCAAGATACCAGATTTTACCACTTGCTGTTGTTCATTACTCTGTAATTCAGCCACATCATTTCATGAAGGGCAAAGCAGACCACTCTCACGCTACAAGTCTTTTGCCTTGAGTACACACATTGTAGTACTTTGCTGAGTTGGAATATTACTGGTATATTGAAATTGAAAGGTTATGGCTCAATTTGTGCTTATTTTCATGTGCATAATTAGTATTCCGTGCAAAAGTACAAACTCAAATTTAAAATATAGACTGCTATAACAATACCTGAAATTTGGATCTCTTTCTTATACAGAAAGCCTATATAGAAGCTTTAATCCTCAATATTCAAAGTGTGCTTCCCATATCTCACGCAGAAGCTGTTTTCTCCACCATCACAGATAAGTATTCAGAAAGGGAGCTCAGGGTAAAATAATACAAAGCAAGAAAATTCCTGTCAGATTAACTTTTCACTGTAGCCAAGAAAATTATGCTGATAATTTATGATGTTAAATGAAAGCCTAAAGAAATCTATGCTTGACAGCCTGGACAATAGCATCTCTCCCTTAGCAAGTAAGATGTAGAAAATGAAATTGTAGCTGTGAAGAACTGTTAAACCAAAGGTGATCTGAAACAAATCTGAGGCATGATTTAGTACATTTGTTTGGAAACCAGAAAGTATAATCAATCAGCAATTTTCTTTCTTTCATTGTAAATGACCTTGGAAGGAACCTATTCTACCTGAATTCTACACACAGCAAAGGCAGTGTGAACTGTGTAAGTGTTAGATCTCACTCTACCAACTTATTTTTCCTTTGTACTCATTCAGATTTAGCTAGATTTGTTGGTATTTACCTAGGTGTTACATATTTATTACTGAATGTTATTACTGGGTGAATTTTGCAAATAATACAGGACAGTTCATTTTCAGTTTTAGTTGATTCATCTGCTTATCAAACTTAATTTCCCAACCCCGTTGATCATGCATGATTTTTCCAGGGTCAAAGCATAGTAAAATCCCTTCTCATTCCTATGTGTGTCAAGCTTCTTTCCTCTGAATTTTTTTTTGTTTGTTTTGGAATGTCAACAATGACCCAAAACCCAACTGATGAATTAAGGGAGTGAGATGGGAAAGAAAAGTTCTTTTCAAAGATAATAAAAATATCAGATGATAGAAAAAAAATCTGAAACTGTACCTTGGGCAGGTGATCATTTTATTTACCCATTCACTGCTCCCTTATCACTGCCACCTACTACATTTGTTCCAACTGGGATAAGAATCAAGATTAGGACTGTAATGCACTGTGAGAACAGTATAGAAAGCAGTTAGCAACCTGAGATGTGTCAGGATGCAAAGCTGCTCTTTCCCCGTGCCAAATACCATTCACCACAGAAAAAGATTAAAAAAAAACCTCAAGCTTTCTTCCATTGAGATCCCAGATCAGGATGTGTGCATGGTTTTTTGCCAGTGATGCCTCCCGTGCATAGCTGTCACTGGAGATATCAGGAGAGAAGGAGGTTTCCATGGAAACATACGATTATAGCATCTGCAAGTAAGAGAGACTTTTTTTTTCTGCCTGGGAATTTTCTAATGTTCTTTATTGCAAAGAAGCAGACCCTTTCCACTTGATGTTGATGGAATTTATATGTTCACCCTTTCTGGTGGGCTCTGGGACACAGAATTTCCTAATTTGCATATCTTTATGCTCATGGTCTTTACCTCTCATGGTCTAAGTCTGGTCTGAATCTAATAGGAAGGTTCAGCACAGGAAATGCGTGTGTCCAGGCACAAGTTGTGAGCAGCTCTCTAGGTCAACTGTTCCTGGATTTAGTTATTGACCAAGCACTGCTTTAGAACTCACCTCTGCAGCCTGCCAGACTGACTGAGTTTAATTCTTCCGGCATTCCTGGGTAGGCTCACAAGTGATTTCTGTTAAATTTCCATGTCTGAAGGAAGCTGTAGGTGAAACCTGCAAGCTAGGCAACTGTTGCTTAAACTGTCTCACAAGTTATGAAATGAAAATGCTTTGGTCCAGTGCTCAGACCATCTGTTCTTTGCAAGTGTGTCATACTGATGTACTAGATTTTACATCTAGCCATTGTTCATTTGCCTACTGCTAACTGGCCTGAAAAACCTGAAATGCTTACTTTCCCAGCTGTATTTTGAGTGTGTTATTATTAAACAAACTAAGTAATTCATGATGCACAAAAGAATAGTATTAACTGGTTTATGTCTCTATTTTAATTGAGGCCAGATTTTCATCTTCCTGTAACACCAAGATAAAATCCATTATCACTGGCTTTCCTACTGATTAACCCAGTTCCACTGTAGCTTAAAACGAAGGAGAGTGCATTTTTACCAATCTAAATTTTGGAATGCTAAGTAAATCTTCTCTCTGTTTTTATTTATAAGTTGCATTTCCTTATAGCAATTCCACAGCCTAGACAGAATATCTCCAAGTGCATATTACATTTTGAAGGTTATTAAAGTCAGTCAACCTTGCTTTTTTATACCACAAC